CCCTATGGAACTGAAATTGTGAGAAAGTGACTCTAATAGGATAGGTCACTTAAAAATGATAGTTGGCTGAAAGTCCCCCAGGCTATATACGTATTCTTGGAATTTTCGCAGACTTGCATTTCAGAAATACGCATAAGCACTTACTTTTTTAACATTATAATTGAAATTTGGAGTGATCTGAATCTTTCTGAATACATATGGGTATACCTATACAGGGTGAGTTACTGAGTGCGCGGTCGTCCATATCTCCTATACTAACGGAGATCGAAGAAAAAACTAAATACAAAACTTGTAGATAAACATGAGTACTACATTTCTAAATTATTTTCCAGTACACAGGGTGTCCCGATAACTAGCAGTAACACAAAGTTATGTTTTTTTAAATGACTCCCCCTGTATATTATGACATTTCTGAATTCTGCGGAAAATTCTAGACATATTTCATGTACAATGTCATATACATAACTTCAACTGTTTCGGAAATATTGACTTTTTTGCATCTTTAAAAGACTGTAAAACCTAAACAGTTAATTTTAGAGGAAAACGGATTTTACAATCCTTATCATAGATTTACATAAGCTATCATTTGACATCAACTTTGAATTTAACCGAAGATTAATAATTTAGGCGAAATTTTTAATCATGGATTAAATTCAAGGTTGGTGTCAAATGAGTTTATGAAAAACTAAGATAGGAATGTAAAATGCGTTTTCTTGTAAAATTAACCGTTCAGGTTTTACAGTATGTCAAAGATGCAAAAAAGTCAGTTTTCAACTGTCAATATTTCCGAAACAGTTGAAGATAGGTATATGACATTGTATATGGAATGTGTCTAGAATTTTCTGGAGAATCCAGACATATCATAATATACAGAGGCAGTCATTTGAAAAAACATAACTTTGTGTCACTACAGGTTATTGGGTCACCCTGTATACTGGAAAATAATTTAGGAATGTAGTACTCATGTTTATCTACAAGTTTTGTATTTAGTTTTTTCATCGATCTCTGTTAGCATAGGAGATATGGACCACCGCGCGCTTAGTAACTCACCCTGTATAATGTATCTGCTTTATTATGGTTTAAAAAAATTTCATTTATCTTAATCTCAATACATATCAAAAACCGCTTGTTCTAAAACCAATTACTGATATTGGGCGGGCGGTTTTTATTATTCCAATGTGAAAGTTTGTTCTCCGCTAAATATTTTTGGTTGGTCATGCGCATGCAGAAGAAAATAATATAATTGTTAACTAGAGCATTTTCTTTATTGAAACATTACTTAATGATAAATAAACGCTAAATATTTTATCACTGAATATCCAATCAATAAGACATAAACTTGAAGAACTCGAAGAACAAGCTCATCGCATGGGGGCAGATACTTGTTAGAAATGATATCTTAGCCAATGAAATAAGTAAGTTCACATCACTAAATATTGAGAGAATTTTCGAGGCCACGATAGCACATATACCAAGAGAAAATTTATACGTTGAAATCCTGATTTCTTTGTTAAAAAAATCAAATATTGTTATCGTCGGTGATTATAACATCGATAACTTGAAAAACGATCATCCAAAGGCGCAACTAAAGCATATCCTGGAATCTCTCAACCTAAAAATGCACTTGAAATCAGCGCAATAATGGGCCAAAGTTCATCAACAATCATAGATTACTTTTGCTCGAATATGAGAGATATAATGCCTTAGTCACGGTATCAACAAAGCAAACAGATCTATCAGACCATGAGCTGGCATTTGCCGAGATATGCATGACAAATCTCCACTCTAGTGTGCCCATTGCTAGGATGAGGATCTATAACAAGAGAAACTTTCAAAAATTCTCTGAAAAACTAGCCTGTATTACTTAACTGGCAAGAAGAATTAGACGAGGGCTGCACAAATTCATTCAATAAACTCTACTCAATAATATTAGAAATTTTTAACGAAGTTTATCCTATAAAAATCGTTAAAGTTAGACAACAGAAAAAAACTGGATGACTAAAGGAATAAGAATTTCCTCAAAAAACAAAAGATCACTTGGCTACCTAAGCAAACATAACATTAATAATGACTTTATTGAAGAATATTCAGGCAAGTGGCAGCCAAAAATAAGTATTTTATAAATAGAATACATAATTCATCTTCGCAGGTCAAAGAGATATGGACATTCAGTGGCGGTCCGCCCATATGGGCAAGGTGGGCACCGCCACCTTGAAGAAAAAATGGAAAAATAAAAAATTACTTTTAATGCAATATTTGAAAAGGCCGCGATTTTGAAAATCTAGGAAAAATCTACCTACGGCCTTTTTTTATTTTTGTCGCTCACCCTTACTTGGACACCACGAGCCGCCACATGGAATATCGTAAATGAGGTAATGGGAAGGACAAAGAAACAAATACTACTACGCATATGAGCCCAGAAAACCTGGATCGATGTTTCTTTCTGAACCCTACGACCTCCGAGGAAGTTCTAAGGATCATAAGCTCTCTTCCTGACAGAAACTCAACAGGAGTAGAAGATCTATCCATAAAGATTATCAAGAAACTGCCTAAACTGCCAGCCCCTATAATTGAAGTAATCTCATATGTCATTAACTGTTCCTTTGACAGGGGAGATTTTCCGGATAGCCTGAAAATGTCCAAAAATTTTTCCAATTCACAAGGGAGGAAGTGGAATCAGTCCTTCTGCCTACAGACCGATTTCTGTACTGTCCGCATTATCAAAAATTATGGAAAAACTGGTCAAAAACCGCATGACTTCCTTTGCGAAAGCCCATAACATAATCGGGAGAGATCAATTTGGGTTTTAAGAGAAGAAAAGCATTGCAGACGCCATACATAATACAATGGACAGAGTTTACAGAGAGCGAGGCGAAAACAAATCGGTTGTAACAGTGTTTTTTGACTTGCAAAAAGCGCATGATTTGATTGTGTGGTCCATGGTGTCTTGTTAGCCAAGCTAAGAGAGATATGGCTACAGAGGTGTATAAACCACTGGATTCGATCATTTCTGAGATAGCCAAAGGAGATAGTTCGCAGCAATTTGGAAAATGGTGGCAGCGTGGCCTCGAGGGCTGAAGAATTAAGCATTGGCGTTGTACAGGAATCAACACTCGGTCCACTTTTGTTTCTTCTATTTATAAACGACCTCCATTCATTGCCTATTAAGGGTCACATAACGCTATTTGCAGAAGATACAACCATCACTTGGGTCGATGCGAATCCCGAAGAGCTTCAGAACAATATAAACAGCAGTAGCATATCTTACTGCTTCAAAACTGGTTCGCATTGAACAAGCTTTCTCTGAACACAAGCAAGCTGCAAATGAAAGGTAGGTTATCAATTTCAACGCAAACCTCTGCAAAAGCGTTATTGTTGAGGTAAATGTCAGAAATCTACAGAGGGTCAGAGAAGTCAAATTTCTGGGAGTCACGATTCAAGAAAACCTTAAGTGGGACCAGCATATTCTACTTCTATCTAAGAAATTATCAAAAGGCCTCTTCGCAGTGAATACAGCGCAGAGATTTATAGACAACAAAACAGCAATATAGGTGTATCACTCCTTATTCGAGAGCCATCTCCGATAGGCGATAACTGTGTGGGGCTTACAACTGGTTATAATATGCAAATAGTATTCCTGCTCCAAAAAAGGGCAATTCGTATGTTAAAGGGTATAAAGGACCAACGTACATCCTGCAGACCACTGTTCAAAGACTTGAAAATATTGTCAGTATTTGACCTTCTCATCTTCGAAGCTACAAGAACTGTTCATAAAGCTAGGCAAAAACTGACAGTCAGTGGTGATTTGCATGCGTACAATACTCGACAGACTGAAAATTTGGTAACCCCATTATCCCGTCTCAATCACACAAAACTCAATGACGCACATGGGTATCCAGTTTTATAAAAAGCTGCCAATAGCAGTTCGACGTAAGGAATTAAGATTTTTATTGTATCATATGGCAAATTATGCTTTTTTAATAAACTACTACGACTATGATAGATAAATGATCAAAGTCAAACCTACTGAAAAATTACGTTTGTTTAACTTTTAGTTACCTATCAGTTTTCCTACAACATATATATTTTTTATTCTTTTTATATTCTACGCTTCAAGAATATGTTGAATAATTACGTGATGGAGGAAGGAGTAGCGCAAACTTATTGAGGCACGTGTATCAGTCCATATTAGAATAATTTATATTAGTAGGCAACATTTTCTTGTAAGTAGGAAGCGGATCAGAATCATAAGTAGATTCGTTTCGAGAAAAGTCGTAAGAAAAACAAATAGGAAATATGATGCCTTTATACAAGGTGTCTTATTTTTTGTATATTCTCAAAATTCCATCAAAGATTACTTCCCAAAGTTTTTGCAAACCCAAACTTAACCGAGTCCAGAAATAAGTTATTTTCGGGAAAATTGCAAATTTTTGTATTGCAGCTGCAAAGTATGTCATCGTTTGATGTGAGAGAATCATTTTCAAATGGTAACGAAGTACTAAGAAGTAGGTGAAGAAACATATTTTCTGTATAAAATAAATTCTGGGGTGGGTAAAATGAAAATGCTGTAGATTCCACTTTTCCCTTTTTCGTTGTTATTCAGTTATATATTCTTTAATTTCCCACTACTCAGGAAATACCCCAATCATAATACAGTTGAGTCTGGAAAATGGTTCTTTGAAATTATTTTAATTGCTGAAAAAAAATCCACCTTACAATACTGCCGATGGAAAGTATAACATCCTTGTTGGATGTATGAGGAAACGATTGTCTTGAAAATGATAGCGTCCATAAACTCATACCCGCGCGTCTATAATAGGTCATTTTCCGTACCTACTTACTCACATCTATTTTTTTTTAAAGAAAATTGAACATTTAAAGGCCACTCTATAGATTAGTGTACCTCCATCATAAAACATTCGAACCCACGAAACAAGAACCCATGATGGTACCTGCTCGTTGACCAATCGAAACGTATTAGATGTACGGTAGGAGGCGTGTCCAGTGTGTAGAAGAGTTAAGTTATTTGCGTGATAATATGGCATAAGTTATTTGAAATGCTTTGGCAGCATTTAACGAATCGGTGTGAAAAATTGACACAAATACTTTGACAATACGGTGGTTAATTGCTAGATAATTTACACCCGACTTGCGGCCAACCGACGGCCGGGTGCGTGTGTTGTAGTACTTATTTATTATATAAGTAAGCACTTAGTGTGGCCTTAAGGAATTATCAATTAAATGATAATAAATAGGTTTAAATTCGGAAAGTGCGATTTTTGTCTTCTAATAAATAATATACCATAATTAATTTGTGTCAGTGTCGATTTTGGATACAGCAGGTGATAATTTTAGGTAAGTAGTTATGAATTAAAAACCAGATCTGTAGTGCTCAAGAGGAAAACGATCGAAATTTTTCTAAGCTTTGCAACCTTTACTATTTTTATTGCCTGTTCAAGAGATTTTCACGGTCTTGCGTGTCCACTTAGGTCACTTTGTTCCACAAAGCGCAATTTATACGAATTTATTCGATTTCTTCTTCCCAAAACGTTTCAACATTGTTTATTTGTTCTAAACATAAAATTCAATCATTGCCAATTTCAAATGACACCATTACCTACCTTATTAATTTGGTTTCAATGTTAACTCTCTTAGACATATCGATGAAGGTTATTTTTTTCGTAATCACACCAAAAATGATTTAAATCTATCTGAATCATCACGTGCTTAGGTACGTCTGGAAAGGATACATTAGTGCGAACACGATCATATCTTAATTTCCTGAGGAAATTCCTTTTGAAAATTATGGGATGTTGCTGTATATCTGCTGTAACACAATAATTAAGATGTAGGTATATGGATCATTTCAGCAATTATTATTAGGGTAGCTGGGCATGGGCCAAAAGTCTTGGACTTGCAGCAAATTTGAATTTATAGTCAAGCGAGTGGAATTATTGTCCATGTTTAAAGGCGATTAGCTGAATGTATCTACAGAAATTCCTTTTCTAGGTCCGGAAATAAGGAACAATCAAGGGTCAGAAAAACAAATTAAATCTGAGAATATAGGTAGCTTTTTTTTCGAACGTTGAAGTTGGACCCATCAGGAAATTATTAATGTAGGTATCACCGCTTCTATTTCAGGTTCTGAAGGACAATAATTTCTATAATTTAGGTTCGAAATAAGTTGATAGTGAGTTGGAATTCGAATTTTTTTGCAATATCAAACTTCAAAACTTTAGCAAATTGTTGGTTTGCATTCCACTGAAGACGGAAAAATCCTTCACAGTCACTACAATAGTATTAGCAATCAATTGACACCTGCCCATATCCAACGTACCTGGCACTTTGGTGGTACCCTGGTACCGATCAAATTTTATTTTAAAATGGTTCACGTTGTCCTTCCGAAGCGCGCTACGTCACAACAGGAATCAATTATCACTTCTCGATACACATATTGTGACGAAAGCAATATCAAATATTATTTTGAAATGTTTTTTCAGCCCGCATTACGACGGCTAAACGTTTGGGTCAACAGAATTAAAATGCTTTTAATGATATTTTCAATTATTGGCACGAAAAACGGTTTTTCTAATGCTGCTAAGTGCCACAGTAAACTTGTGACGTAGTCATGGTAAATAACTTGATTGCACGTACGAAATTTTGATGTAGATGAAAAAGTAGTTAGTGGGGCGCCCCCTTTTCAAAATTCATTCAGGATTCCTAACAAATTTTCAAGAAAAACAGTCAAAATAGGTTAATCGTTGATGACTCAATTCAGTTGGTAGCAGAGATGTTGGTAGTTGAAAGGTTTGATTTAACGGACAGACGTCACTAAAAAGCTAAGGAAGGAGGCACAAATAACATTGAAAATAGGCCCCCGTAAATTTCAACCAAATTTCAATAATTTCAAGGTATCATTGCAAAAAAAAATGAAATACAAAAAGGATCGTATGTCTATGATAGCAGATATAGCTCATCAAAGTACATAGATCCTGCTATGAGATGCATAGGTATAGGGAATATCCGAGGAAATATCGGATCCCTGCGTAGATTCTCTTTAATATCTCGAAAAATACTAATCCGATTTTGACGTTTTTGGGGTCCTTTTGTAGGTATCAAACTCCAAAAAGGTCAAAATCGGATCGGTATTTTTCGAGATATTCAAGAAAATCTACTTAGGGATATTTCCTATGCATAGCATAGAAGAACCTACGTACTTTGATGAGCTATATCTGCTATCACAGACATACGATCCTCTTTACATTTCATTTTTTTTTTGCAATGATGATACCTTTAAAAATATTGAAATTTGGTTGAAATTCAGGGGGGCCTATTTTCAATATTAATTGTGCCTCCTTCTTTCCATAGCATATTTCAAAAGTGAAAATTCCAAGTTTTTCTTTGGTTTTCTTCCTATGAAGTTTTCTTGTGATTCCCATTGCAAATCTCTCCTTATGCATATTTCCTCTGGTGCCATGATGTCCAGTTCGTGGTTTTCTCAATGGCTCTTCAACCTAAATTTTCCCAGCTCGGAGTACCCTGATATCAAGGAGATTATTTTCAGTTGACGCTACTTATAGTCCTTATGTGCTGTGCCCAGGAACTCGGGTTTTTTCAACTCTGTCTTGGTTGATGGGATTGCGCTGCTGTTGGGGCTGTCCCTCTTGATGCCCTCTCTGACTTTCTAGGAGGTTGCAAGCATTGTATACTTTAGACATTCTCAGTAACTCGTGTCCAACCTGACTAAAATCCAAAATTCTGCCCTTCCTAGGATGCTCTTAGTATCCCGCAACGTTGATTCGCTTTTTCGAGAAAGTCATTGGGATTGAATCTGCCCAAATAACTGATGTTGGAAACATGGCTGACCCGAGCAAATTTTGCGCACAAGAGGTTTTTGACGTTCCAGATCCTTGGATTCTATGTCTTCACAGTGAAGAGCGGCATCAGTCGGTTCCTAGTTTTGTCTGTCAGACAATATCAACGGGGTTGCCTTCGGTTGCCTTGCATAGCATGTCGACTCGAAGGTGAAGGATCACCACATGTATATAGCCTCTCTGCAATATTGTAGTTTCGTTTTCATTTTCATATCAGAGACCACAGCTGCCAAGATATCTAGCTTCTACTTTTTCCCGAGAGGTTTCCGAGATGGGCTGCTGTTCTGGAAATGTCGTTTAAGGCAGAATTCTACTTGATAATAAATCTTCGTCGGTCACTCTGAGGCTTTTCTTCTGCAATCATTATATTTGGTTTTAACTTCCTAAAACGGTATATCAAAATCCTAAGTCTCTGCTTGTGAGATTATCCGATGAACCTTTATAAATTTATTGTCAATTGTCACTAACCCAAAAGTATCCATTGACAAAGGGACTTAGCCTAAACTAAATTACTATTTAGAGGATACCTACTTTCTGCATTCACTCTTAACAAACAATAAACTTGATTTGCCTGCATCAATAAATCATGTCAAACCCATACTATATAATAATAGTGAATCAATTAACAGATTTTTAGCCATAACAGAGTAGAAAAACAATAGAAAAGAAATAGAGAGATAATTTTACTTGAAAATAAAATCCTCATAACCCCAGACAACATACAAAGTCTCAAAGACGTCTTTTCTAGGTCTGCATTGTGACTGAATACCACAATAAGACGTCTGTGAGATGTCGTAAATTCACATCTTAAAGACCCCTGAGCCTTATTATTTGGTACAATCGGGCCTAAAAGTGAATAATGGTTTATGTATTAAAAAGAGATTCAAAGACGTCTTCAAGACATGTCGTTGAAGACGGCTTTAGAATGTCTTGGAAAAATGTCATGAAGAAGTTTTCAGGCAGACGTTTGAAAGACGTTGGGTTTTGTAAAATAAGACGACTTTAAGATGCCTTTAACACGTGAGCAGACGTCTAAAAAACGTATTGAATGTTGTTCGTGGACATCTTAGGTTTTTAAGATGTACAAAAACTTCCCACATGATTCGTTTCTCAACTCTCATTTAATTTAGAAGTTACTGGAAACCATTCAAAATGCTACAGAACACTTTAGAATATTATTAGCCCTTTTAGAAAATTATTAGCCCTTTTAGAAAGTTCAGAACATTCAAAATTCAATTCAGAATTTCCAAAAGCGTTCTGTAAGGCTTTAGAACAATCTGGAAACTTCAGAATTATTTTACTTTTTACAATGCTCCAAAACATTCAAAAACAATTTCCAAAAGTATTTTCAAACAATTCAGAAGTTTGGAATCCATTTTAGGACGCCCCAAAACACTTAAGCACTCTAGAATCTCCATTTTGGAACAATTTAGAAACTTATTTCAGAACAATTACAGGATTCCATTTAGCGCTAAAACCTTTTAGAACTCTTCTGAACTAATTTAGAGCACTTTGAAGCTTCAACCCAGTTAGCACAAGTGTCATTCTAGCAACGTATTGGGGATATCTGGATCGGACATTTAGTAAGACATTTAGTAAGTCTCGATATGTCTTTTAAAAGTACTTTTCCTTTCCTGGGACATACCTAGGATATATTTTGTTACAAAACCTCTCATACCGAGTACCTCCTGGAAAGAAGTACTATTAACGTCCATAGTTAAGGAGGAAATCCTGGAGCTGTGTAAACAAAACTCCTACGAACGTTCAGAGAGAACTCCTAGGGATGTTAAGGATACAACATTCAACGAGGTCCAATGAGAACATATACATGTGACATTTAAAGGGGAATTCACAGGGACGTCCAAGAAGAATTCTTATAGGGATATTCAAATAAGAATTTCCAGGGACGTTTGGATGGGCATGGGATTTAAAACGAAAGTCCTCGTGGTGTTACAAAGGTATATACCTAGACTAGTCGTCCTGCGAAAGTTCCGAAACGCTCAGAGCTAAATGGGCTCTGAAATATTTCTAGATTATTCATTAGCGGATGTGCTCAGGATCTCGGTTTGGGACGTTAAGACATATGGAATCTAAAACGGACGTCTTGGCACGACCTGTACTATCTGGGCTACAGCCTGATATAATCCAAAAATGAACTATTAACGGCTCTTGATTTTCTGGAAAAATTACCGAGAGACTCAAGAGCCGATAATAAACAAAATTTGAACTTTCACCGGCTCTTGATTATCTAGAAAAACTACCCAGCAACTTCAGAGCCGGTAATAATCAAAATTTGACCTATTACCGGATCTTGATTGTCTAGAAAAACTACCCAGCAACTCCAGAGCTGGTAATAGTCAAAATTTGAACTATTACCGACTCTTGATTATCTGGAAAAATTACCCAGCAACTCGAGAGCCGGTAATGGTCAAAAATTGAACTATTATCGGATCTTGATTGTCTAGAAAAATTACTGAGCGACTCAACAGCCGGTATTAATCAAAATTTGACCTATTTTCGGCTCTTGATTGTCTAGAAAAGTTACCGAGGGATCCGCGAGAACCGGTAATAATCAAAATTAGGGTTTCAAAGTGAAATTGGGAACTCTAGAAAATTTCCAGCTAATCAAGAGCCGGTAATAATCAAAATTTGAACTATTACCGGCTCTTGATTATCTAGAAAAATTACCGAGCGACTCAGGAGCCGGTAATATATAAAAATTTGAACTATTACAAGCTCTTCATTGTCTATAAAAATTACGGAGCGACTCAACAGCCGGTAATAATCAAAATTTGAGCTGCTACCGGCTCTTGATTGTCTAGAAATAGTATATTAAAATACAAGTTGCAGAAGGCCACATATTCCCGCACGAATTCGAAATTTGGCCACGAGCAACGAGGGAGCGAGTGGTCGAACGAATGAGTGCGAGAATAGCCATTTGCAACGTGTGTTTTATACTATTTTCTCGATCCCACTATTTATTAACACCCTGTATATATGGGAATATTAGCAAGAAAATGTTTCTCTTTATAATTTTTCCTATTTCCTATTCTAAATTCTTAACATTCTTTTGGGGTCTTGAATTTTTTCAGTCTCATTATTACCATATTTTAGAATTTCAGGCTCTTCATTTGTTTTTTAATTTTCGCTCCTGGCTCTTCTAATGTTTTTCTTCCGAAATGAATTTTATGTATGTTTTCGTTTAAAAGAAATCAAGACTTTAAGAGCCTAGCGTTTTTAACAGATAAAAAATTAAAGTTTTAAAATGAGTAGGTAATAATTATGAAATATTAGTCCTGAAAACGTGTTTAGGCAGACGTCTGAAAAAGATGTCTTTAAGACGCCTTGCAGACGTAAGCAGACTTCTAAAAGACGTTTTTAATATCGTTTGTGGACATCTTAGCGACGTCTTTAAGATGTCTGTGCTGTCTGGCACAACATCCAAAAGTTCCAAAGACTCTGGAAATGTTTTTAAGCTCACGAATACTCTTTATTTCATGAGGTACCTAACGTAATGAAGATCTAAATACTCTTGTATAGTGAAGACTTTGGTATGGGCAGAGGTAACTTACTCTACCTAAAATTATAGTGTGCTTCTCTGAAAGAGCCCTTTAATGTTTTGAAAATGAATGAAGCCATCTCCAAAATAAAAATACCTAGAACAGTTAGAACAGCCAGCCCGTGATCTCTTGAAAAAAAAATCAACTTTAAATTAATTGAATTCTCAATTATTTTCTTGTAGATTTGACAAATGGCCCAACACATTCTCTCGGCAATAGAAACCGACATAAATTCCATCAAAGACAAAGGCGATCCTCAAGAACGTAACATATCGGTGGCATTAGATGACAGAGACCTCTGGGTGAGATTCCAGTGTTTCACCAATGAAATGATCGTTACGAAAAGCGGCAGGTAAGAGATGTTGACCTTTTTAACCATAATTTCGTGTGAAAAACTTGTTAAAAACCAAAACTATGGGTCTGCGTATGTTTTATTATTTGTTTGCGCAAATAATAAAACAAAAATTTTATGGATTTTTCGGTACCCATTTTAACCGAAAAACAGTTCACTTTGAAAGCTTTTTTATAAACCTGTTCGGGCTTGTGTCAATATTGAACCAAGAAAAGGAATATTTCAAATATTCGCCACAAATTAACATAACAGGATGCAACAAAAATCAAATCTGTATATTTACTTACATGCGTTTTTTGTTAATTAATAAAAGTCATAAATTAATAATCTCCAATGTTATTGGTTTATTAGCGACTAACTAACAACTAATATAGTAACTACTTGTTAATTATTTGGTGTTAATTCGTGGCATCCACTAAGAAGAGTGAAAGTTTATTAGTGAGAAAATGCGATACTACATGTGTGACAAATAAGATAAATAATGTATTTTTTCCCTATTTAAACATTATATATTTGATAAATGGTGCTTATTTCAGGAGGATGTTCCCTGTAGTCAAAGTCACAGCAAATGGTTTAGACCCAAAGGCAATGTACACGGTGCTGTTGGAGTTTGTCCAAATTGATCCTCACAGATGGAAGTATGTGAACGGTGAATGGGTTCCGGGCGGTAAAGCAGAAGTACCACCCTCGAATCCTATTTACGTTCATCCCGAAAGTCCTAATTTTGGGGCGCATTGGATGAAGGAGAGCATATCGTTTGCCAAAGTCAAACTCACAAATAAAACAAACGGCAATGGCCAAATTATGCTCAATTCTCTTCATAAATACGAGCCCAGAGTACACCTAGTGCGAGTTGGAACAGAATCCAGACGAGTGATGACGTTTCCGTTTCCGGAAACCCAATTTATTGCAGTGACGGCTTATCAAAACGAAGAAGTAACTTCACTGAAAATTAAATATAATCCATTTGCTAAGGCTTTTTTGGATGCTAAAGAACGACCGGATAATGTTTATCAACGAGGAGATTATTCACCGACATATAGTCAGCAACAAAGTCAGTATCCACAGTGTGAGTAAAGAATTATATTTAATGATAATAAAGTTGCCTATATTGTACTTTATTGATTGATTTGATATATAGAAACAAAGCAAGGTTTAGTGATTCCCTGACACTGCAGCTAGTTAGCTCCCTTTCTATGTAAGTTTTTGCTAAAATAGGTTTGACACCTTCGCTAGGTGCAGTAGCCTCTTTATTGGCGTCTTCAGGGGATCCTCTTTCTGGATGGGCTCCTCCTTCAGTTCTGTGCTGGGCACTTGAATAAGATATGAGAGGCTGATCTTCGTCCTCGTCACACAGTCTACAGATGGGTTCATCTTGGTAAATACCCATCTTGTGTTAGTGTTTTTTCAGTGTACAGTGACCGGCTAAAAGTCTCGTCCCAATTCTGATCTGATTCCTCCTGTGCTTTAGGATCTCAGAGGCTAAACTTATTGTATAGGATATTTCACCATTGCCTTACTGTGGTATTGGCTCGATGTTTGATACCAGTGGTTTTTGTGTTCCTCTCAGATCTACTTTTCTAAGTAGCCACGTATCGAGGTTTTTGATATTCCGAATACGGGTTCAGGATCCATAAACTGCAATTTTTGAGTCAACGTTTTCATTGCCGGATCCCACGCAAGAATTACCTGGATAGGGTTAAAAGGGGTCGCAGGCAGTCCCACACTAATTTTGAGTTTATCTGTTGGCATGCTAGAAATTTAATAGCTGTTTGGCTGTCTGGAAAGATCTTGATATCCTTGTATACTCCCTTCTCAGATTTTCCCGCAAACATATCTCTATTGCATGTATTCCGGCTTGGAATATGGCAGTTTGCTTCGCTGGGGATAAACTATATACTCTGGAACCGGTTCCACTGTCGGTTTTGGAGCCATCAGTGTTCCATACTAACTTCCATTCTGGACTAGTGAGTTTTCTGTTTTGTTTTCCCAGTTAATCTGGGTGTGAAACGGTTGGGAGTGTTTATTCTCGGGGTAATGTTGTCACTTCTCATGTTAATGCTTCTCATGTCAAACAGTTTGAGTATGTAACAATGTTTATTATTCTGGTATGTCCGGATGTTAGTCACGGATTCCAGTTCTGGCCACAATTGAATATGTAGGCTAGATTAGGACCCTACCCGGCGGGCCGCCTTTTGATACTGACATCTCTATTGTATCATATTAATAGTAGTCCGAACTTGTTTGCCACGAAGCATGTTATCAATCCATCTGTTGATGGTGTGTGTGACATGTGACTCCGTGTCTGGACAAAGCAGTGATTATAGATTCTAATGAGGTAATTCATGACTAACCGATCGAGCTATTCATGCATGCATTCACTAGTTTCACTACACCTTTTTCAAATGTAATTCATTTGTAATTCAGATTTCTCAAATGTAATTCAGAAAATCTGATTTGTAATTCAGATTTTCTAAATGTAATTTAGAAAATCTCATTTGTAATCCAGAAAATCTTGACTGAAATTCAGAAAACCCAATTTGTAATACAGGTAGTTTCTCAAATGTAATTTAGAAAATCTCAACAGAACTTCAGAAAACTTGGTTGATTCAGAGTCCAGAAACCCTGTATCTATGTATGTAAATACATAGGTGTCTGCTTATATTTAATACGGTATCTAGGTTTTATATTACAAAGTTTATATTACATAGCACCACCTACCACGCAGCAGTACTGGCATTGGAAGATATGCTAGCCGACCAATAATATACCTCTACATAGATTTCTTGAGGATGCTTCATAGTTTTGTTTCTAACTTTTATTGTTAAGGTACCTATTATGTCATATTTAATTTGTAAATAATTTGAACCTATCAATAAAACATCTGTTTATTCCGAATTATAACTGTTATCTGAATTACATTTGATGTTATCTGATTTACATTTGAAAAATCTGAATAACAATTGAGGTTTTCTGAAATGCATTTGTATTTTTCCAAATTACGATTGGAAAGGGTGTAGTTGAGTTGTATACCATTTCAATTCTTCTGTAGTCCAGACAATTCTATCCTGAGAAATTCCGACAAGCAACACTCGATTGCTAGATTATTCTATCAACGGCGAATTGCATTGTCGAAGATTCTAGTCATCCGGTATACTCAGGGATTAATTAATAAGTAGGCATGATAAAGAAAGCTTTAAGGATTTTCTACGTTTTTTTTGAGCCCTATGGAATCGAGACTTCGTATATGGGGTCATTACTAGGAACCCCATGCGGTTTTATCAAAGTGTGCACAATTTTGCAATGTCGTACTCCGTATGCACTAACTTTGCATTGATAATTTGAGAAATAGTTCCATTCTGAAATAATTATTCCATAAGCCACATATACGTAACAACGGTAATATGTTTCCCAGTGAAAAAGTACTGGAAGCTGACGAATTTTTCGTGTAAAAGAAATATTTGAAATAAGAAAATTTATTTATAGATGGTTCCTGGTTTATTCCCCATCAATCGATTTATTCAACCGCAAGCCAGATGCCTACATGTCAATACAGGACCAGTCCGAAGCTGATTAGACAAAAATCAGCTCCATATTTGCTCAACAGGCAAAAATCGGCTTCTCCTGTTTCACCTCCGCCATCTGGTAAGTTATTATAGAAGTCATTTTTCTAGAGAATTCGGAAATTATTGAATTAAGACTAAAGTCATAATAAGAGTTCAACATTTTTTTTTTTGCAACTATTAGATACAAATTTACAATAAAATATACAAATTAATTTACCCAGAAACTTTGTTCAATAAGTAATTCCCAATTTTAACCCGAAAGCTTGACTTGTAGCACGCTCATAGAATAATTACCTACTTATATATTTTTTATATGTGACAATATGTTTTATTTTTCCAGTATACAATCCACCAGATCACATTCAACAACCACAACTGTACAATTCTGGCACAACTTATTCAACGTGGTCTTCGATGCCTACCATGCAAGCTCCAGCCCCAACAGCCCTAATTTCGCCGATTAATTGCTGGTCGACAACAACCAGTCCTCCCCCGTCTCATCAAATTGCCACCCCAAACCAATCCCCCACGCATCAAATTTACCAACACTCTCCCCCTTCAATCACCAACCTCTCATACCCCAGCTATTACCACCAAGATATCCCTACCTATCAAAGTCCAGATTATCTTGTTAATCCTGTCGTTAACCAGGAAGTGACTTATACTCAATTGGGCGACAGAAACACGCCAGTGATTTATAAAGCAGACCACAGTATCCAGAATTTGGATAACCACAGTGTATCCAGCGTTGGCCAGGAGTACAATGGTATTAAGTTTGTGCAGTGTGGTACGAGAAAGATGGAATATGCACTAAAAAATCAAGGAGAAGATGACACCCGATCAGCGCCGGGGACTCCTAGGAGTGATTGGGCCCCACAAAATCATTTACAAAATAATAATTGAACAAAGAATAATCATTATGTGTAAATATGTATGATTTATGTGGATTTGTTAAAAAATGGATTTTCTAGATTATTCTAGGAATACTCTGTCCTTTTTGGTAATATAGAAATATGTTTAGAAAAGTCCATTTTTATTGAAAGATGTTAGAGTATGAAAGGAGGAGAAAAATTAAAAAAATATATTCTTATTAATTAATGTTTTAATTGAGGTAAAAATTCTTGCTTACATAGTGCAATTCTAGAAGTACTGGGCCTGGATTCTGAACCCACGATTCGATAGTATCGTCTATATAAAATAGATAGACGATACTATCGAATCGTAAGTTCGGAATTCAGGCCCTGGTTTGTTTCCGAGGATTTGTACTTTTGCCTGTCTTTTTTTATAAATAAAAATTGACTGATACAAATGAATGACGTCAAAAACGTTCGTCGATTTTTAAATCAGGGTCCTTTTTTCTTGAATCCGGGCAGCAGCATTCCCAGGAGAACGAGTGTTCTGTCTTTCCCAATGATATCCAAAATTAATGATAATATATTAGAAAGTAACAAAGACGGAACACTCGTTATCCTGGGAACGCTGCTCCCCTGTTTTAAGAATAAGGACCCAGAAGTCATTCAATTCAATACAAACCTTTTTTTCCAAGTTATGATTATCGATGTCATAAGTTCAAACCTTTGTGAAATGAACCACATCTTCCTCATTCCCTGTTTCAAATCAGGTGTATATTTGTCAACTTTCAGGTGAATTGGGTTTATATGAAATGTTCCTAATTATATAGGTACAACTTCCGGTGGAATGCATGTGGCGAGATTTTGCGCAATTTTCCCAACTATACCTTACATTGAAGTGGGCCTCAATGGAGCCTGTCCCTGAAGAGGTTGCACAACAATTCATATGCGGCCTTACTATCAAGTTCACTTTGGACCATATTCAAATACAGATCAACGGAAAAAAAACTGCTACGCTTACATTAAAATTTGCTTTATTTCAGTAGAGCTTGATAATTCCCAATGCAATCATTTAAACGAATATTACTTAACTTATTTGAATCAACTGAAACTCACCGGATGGAATTATCATACTCGATTTTTATCACACATAGGTAATTAAAATTATTTTTGATTTTTGGTCGACATATACCTATACCTACACTAAAAAAGAATTCAATTAACTCAAACGTGCGTCCCATCTAGAGAATGGACCTTATTTAATTTATCCTTATTACTATCCATTTGCACCCTGGTTTCGCGTTTTCCCAAAGGACTCTTCAGGGAAAATTTGTTCTCCCTTTTCAGAAGATGTTTTGGCGAATGCACTGGTACCGGTACTATTGCTTCTGCTTTAATTTTAAAATTGTTCTCAGCTGTATCAATTATACCACCATTGTCTCCATTTTTTCTGATCTCTTTTTGTTGGTACTTCTTCGGATTGGTATTGGGAGAACTCCTGGACCGATTAACTATTGGTTCAGATAGCAATCTCGGTACTGATTTAAAAGGAAGACACTCAGAATGACTGGACGTCGATACTGGGGTATGTGGTGCTGACTGGGACACTGTCATTCGGTTAATGGTGTTTGAAGTTATGTCTCTGTCGATAAACTTGAAAGATTTCCTGTTGTCTAAAATTTGAGAGCCCAATTGACGCATATTAGGTTGTGATCTAGACAAAAAAAAATTGTATGTTATATGAAATCAGGCATTTCATTGAATTGAAAAATCTACAAGAATGCAGTTAACATAATTAGGTACCTACATGAAGCGATATACAAATTACAGAAGTTTACCTTGCATGCATTTGCTTGTGATTTCCTCTAGTAGTATTGCGTCTCACTGGACCTCCAGAAGTTTTATTCGTTATCCTCATCGAGCTATAATTGATGATTTTTCTTGTTATGTCAGTTTTACCTTGTGTTCTGGCTCTACCCAAGACTGCGCTTCCAGCTAAATTAAAAAAGATTGCATAATTTTCTTTATTGGTCTGTTAAGAATATACTCACGCGTGTTCCCTGTATGTTTTTTCCTAGTTTGTGCCAGTGCGTACACCACAGCAGCCAAAGTACTATAGTTGCTAGGTTGTCTCTGGAAATTTGGCGGTCTAGAAACTTGCCTTCCAATAACGAAGTAGGTTTCCATCAAGCCTTTGCCTTTCACATCAATTATGCCTCTTTTTTTCAGTTCGTAGCCTCTTACGCCCAACATCTAGAAAATTAACCAATTCCATGAATTCTCCAGCGGACTTTCGATAGATATCAAAGAATAATCCACATCCAAATGCGAAAGCTTATCTACCAAAAAAGTAGGACGGTTTATTAAGCAACATTAGACACTATCAAGTTTTGTATAATTGGGAAAGAAAATTAAAATCGATGTTGTGAAGCAAGTAGGTATCATCCCAAGTGGCAATATATCCTAATACAGCGACGTTATCTCTTCAAACCTGGAGATTAATAGGAGATATGAATGAACATTCTATACCTCAAAAACGGCGCTGAGGAGTTATCTTAAATAATTTGGTTCAAAATTTTTCTTGATAGACCCAGGAACGGAAAATTCAGTAACCAGCTATCAAGAACATGCAGTAAGGTAAAGGAGAATATGCTGGGACCAGCGCAGGATCTTAAACATTCCCTGCTTGAACTTAAAAAAAGGTGCTTCCAAAAGTTTACAAAAATTATACAGTGTAAGCTTAATTGACTTGGAGAGTCAAGTAAATGTGACTGGAATGAAAGATGGTGAGTATTTATCAACTCAACCAGAGAGTGAACTACGGCAACAGAAAAATCAATCTAAGTACCTACCTACCAGTAATATTGATAGGGTAGGCAATTGTGCAGAAAATGGGCAAAATGATGCAGCGTAATACTCAAGTGAAACTAAGTCACCACCACCTTCTCAAAGATTCTTACAAAGTCGATTTTTGTTTCCTCATCATATAAGCCTATTCATTGTAGCTTGCCCTTTCAAACTAACTAGAAATCATAAATTCCCCGTCCATCGATATGTGTTACGATATTAGGAGTCCCTTTTGACAGATTGACCAATAACTACCAGCCTCAGAAGTGAAACCAAAGGTCTTACTACTCTTGGTCCTACTCCTCATGTCTACATTAAGATCAGAAGCTTGATCAAGTCGCTCAGAGAACTATGCAACTATGGAAAAAGGAATGTTGGGCTCAGTTCTTCGAGGTCATAATAATGAGCTGAAAAACTAATCATATAAAGGTTGATGGGGAAACAAGAGCCATTTGATTGGAATCACTTTGCAAGAATGACGGACGATAGCTGAACTCTCCGAATCATAGAGTTCCAGCCATGCAGTAGCAAGAGAAGCCGGAAACGTCAGCAAATAAGATGGACGAACAATATGAGAAAACTCATAGACATCAACCGGTTGAAAATCAAGAAAATTGAAAAAAGCCTAGGAAATTTCACATTCATTGTGAACCCAAAACTATAGGGAAGACAGAAACAGACGATAGCTAAGTTTAGGTAGTATAATATTTCCTTCTAGTATTCTAGTACTTATAGATATTTTTTAAATGGGTGTATAGCAGGTCATTATATTTATCATGCATAGTTTTAACGCAAAAGCTATAGGTTAAATTATCTACACTTGCGCACCTGGCGCGGATAATACATAAAATTTCTTACTTGTGCAGTTTCTTTAGGTACTTGTATATAGCCAATAATTCCTGTCGAGTCCATTCTAGATGCCAAATTGACCGTATCGCCCCAAATATCGAAAACAGGTTTCCTAGCACCTATAACACCGCAAACTAATGGCCCACAAGAAACGCCTATACGTAGTCCGAAATTGTTGAACGAATCCTTGTTGATTTCATCCAGTTTTTCTTTCATGCACATGGAATAGTCGATTAGAGCGCAAAGATGTTCTACACTGTCCGTATTTTTGTCAGAGTCTTTGTGGGTTGGATTTAGTCCGGATGCTGCCATGTAAGTTGCTGTAGCGCTGACTGTCTTTATTTTTTCTATGGAACTGAATCTGTCTTCGTCTAGGAGCTCATCGAAATCAGCTTAAAAAGGATTGAATTTTCTTCATTATTTCTTGATGGGTAGGTACAGCTAATGAGGCTGCTAGCACATATAAGTATGATTTAAAAATATAGAAATTTCTTACCAATAATCTCATTCAACAGTCTGATACATTCCACCCCCTTATTAATTTTTTCCGAATAAAATTCACCAAAATTCGGTATAGAAGCAAACAGCACACCCACTTCTTCCCTATATTGAGCAAACAATTCCTCACTATTTCTGTCACTCGACAAATAGTGCTGAGCCACGTGATCCGGTAAAATATTAGTCAAAAGCTGCATATTATTTTGTCGCGTTTCTTCCATGTCCATCAGTTCACGTTCGGCCTGTTGTTTCCATAGAAAATCCAAACGTGAAGTTACTTCCACTAATCTGGCATGGTAGGCGACCATTAGAAAGAACACACCCAAAAGGATTAACATTTGGACTGAGAGAGGAGTGACAATGCTGGAAAAAAAATGATTTTTTATGTTTCCGATATGGTAATTTCAAACTTGCATGAAACATATGTAAATATGGAGCAAAAAAAAACTACTTACAGATTTGAAGAGCTATATGCATTAGTAGCAAATATCGGCCTATATGGTACCATAATCAATATAGTATACACAGTGACCATAAGCAACGTCAATATCAGCTTCACCAAGTAATATAGCTTCAAAGCTGTAGCTAAACCTATCATGCACAACACCCAAGTGAACACAATGTATTCTGGATGTTTACAAAAAACACAGTCGCTACAAGATGGAGCTATTGTGGTATTGTTTAATGGAAATTCTTCTGTGGTAGTACTTTCAGTTAATTCCCTTCTAAGTCTTTTCATTTTCCAGTTGCATTTGGCTAAGGGCTCGGAACATTGTCTCATCGATCTTTTCTTCCGTCTTTTGCCCATCAAAATTTGCGTTAAATTATTGTTCCCATTCGTGCTAAATTTTACAATTGTGTCATTCGAGCTACTACTGGCAAGCTGAACAATTGAATCATTTGACCATAAATTATGCAACTTTTCCACGAATTGTTTCAAACATTCTCCAGTGCAATTTATATTTTTAAATGTAATTCCTGTATTAAGTTTGGCACTTAAAGTCAAATTAAGCGTTAATTCTTGTTCCACATTTTTAACTTCAATTTCTGGAACGTACAAAGGCGATTTTCGCAATAATAACGACGGCTGATAGCTTTTCAATAACAAAGGCGATATCGTTGTTGCTGTTGAAGTATCAATAGAAGATTTGTTAGTGGTAACTGGTAAAGAATTCCTAAACTCGGCGTTGTAGCTTTTAAAAAGACTAACAGAACTGCTCAGAGACATTACAATGATTAAAATGCATATAAAGGCAGTTCTGGTGTTTTTGTTGTGTACTAGAGTTGACGAAATTTTTTGTAGAGGTTGAGGAAATTGATGAAATTCCTCGGCCATTACTAGAACTGAGGCTGCTGTAAGTAGGATTGTTACTATTGCCAGAAGCCAGATTACCAATGGAGATCTGGAAAATTGGGAAAATTACATTAATTTCTACTCAGTATAGAGGGCAGAGAATTCATGCGTGAGAACATCTTGTTTAGCAAGTCCTTGTCATCAATACAAAAACAACAAAAAGGCGCTGTTATTGCATCGGAAACACATGAGTACGCTTTTTTCCACGTGGTCGTAGCTTGAGGCAGTGAATTTGGAAGACAGCTAGGTTATTGAAGATCCTATGTTTGGAAGAAGGCGCGATGAGGAGTATTTTGAGACATAGGTGCCATTCATCAGTATTGAGGCAAACCACCTATTTAAAATATTATTTCTTCAATACTTAACTTTTAAAAAAAAACGTTTACTGAATAAAAGTAAATGTTGCAACCTTGTCTGCGCCATCAAATTTAGGGGTGACTGCGTTCGACCACAGGGAACGGTACTGCGAACGGGAGATAGAGAGGACGCAACTAGACTTGAGAATAAGCTGGGGCTGTTCCTTTAGACGCATATCTGTAATTATTCATTATTCAATTTTCATTTCTATTTTGCATTAAAATTGATTGTTCAATCCAATTTGTTATTAATGTGTGTGTAAGGAGCGTTCACAGGTTAGTGGATTAAATGTTATTTTATTTTTGAGAGTTCAATTTATGCAAGTTCCTATTATTTTGTTCATTTTTATGTATTTTTTGTTTGTCGTTAACTGTTTTTATAACATGAGCATTGTTTATGTATTTAACAAAAATCGTTTCATGCTGTAAACAACACAGATAAAGAAGTAAATTAAACCCTAAGAAATTATGTGCTGTCTTTTTGTGCTGAGATTGTGATTTTGTGGATTTAGAGCGTGCATTAGGGCATTGTTGAATTTACTAACATTTTCCTACCCTGACGAGAGAATATCCTAGCAAATTGAAATAATCAATCTAGAGATATTGGCTCAAAAACAACTATAGCTGAGTAGCTTCTCGTATGGGACCTCAGTACCTGCTGGGAAACTGGCTAACTAACAAAAAAAAAACCTCTTCAGTATTGAATATAGGTAGTATTGATTGAATGTAGAGTGTGTAATTCAAATTTTAGCACAAGTACAGGGACGGTACCTAATTTAAACTTTCATTGACTTAAATTTTTGAATTAATGACTCACAATTATTATTAAAATGACACAGTATGTTTCGATTTTTGAGGAATGTTAGATCGAGGGTTTTTTTGCCGTGCTTTTTCCCCTCGTTAGTTCTAGGATGAGAACCGTACACTTCAATAATAAAGTAGACGTTTCACAAATTTTTCGTTTCTTTTACATATCACAACTTCCCTTAAATTTCTCAAATATTTGCTTTGTCGGGCGCATGTCCAGTAAGTAAAATTGAGTAAGTTTCCACAACGTAGGTCCTTTTTGCTTTTCATTTCGTTTTTCAGAAGATTTGTTGTTTAGAAGGTAATAACAATTCTCATCGTTCAATCTTACTGAACACACACAGTATCGACCAGAATAAGTCAGAAAAGGACGTGTACACGACTACACAACTGCGAGTTGCATATCTAGCAAATTTGTCTCAATTCCTAGCTCTGCCGGTCCTTCTCGGTACCGTATGCCTCTATTGTTAACCATACAGTGAGAACTTTATTTATCGGAAAACAAACATCAAGAAGCACATTTATAAAGGTAAAGGATTTAAAATCGCTATCATTAGTCTAAAGAAAATTTTCACTTTCTCGATAGACTTCTTAGTATCATGTGAGAAGTAGGCTTCAAGTATTCACCGTGATTTACGTAGCCCGTGCATCAAAAGTAGTCCAGTTTGCAGGTGGATTAGTAGAAAAAGCATCTAATTCACCTGCAAGCTAATGCACGGGCTACGTAATTCATCCTGTTTACTTTCATCTCTGAAGATTTTAAGTGTAAGATGTTCTCATGCCTGATTTCATCTTGTATTCAATAAATTTTTCAAATACTCACAAAGTGATAACAAATTGTGTTATAATAATGAAAAGCCAAATTATGTAACAACAGAGCATGTTGGATTTGAACATGTCCTCCCTAAGTTGACTGAACTACAAACCAAATAACTTGATTGCCAAATGTTTAGGACAAAAAAATTAAACTCACTTGCCACTCCATGTCTTTGTCAATGAACCTCAAAGTCCATGGATTCACATTGGCACTTCTCATTCTTTTATTACTTTCAATTTCAATGCTATGGTCTATGATATCATCCACTTGCTCTATAACTTTTTTGGGAGCGTTCAATTCGTACTTTCCTTGCTTGCCTTTGGGTTCTAATGCTTCATCTAAATCTGCAGATATCGATCTATGAAGCTAATTAAATAAAAGGGATTTTATAGTTATTTTGCAAATCAAAAATGAAATTTACATTACATTTTCAAAAGGTATTTCTGGTGTCCAATCAGTCGTAGTTTCTTCTTCAATACCACTGTGCTGTATACCACTGTCACTTCGCTCTCTAGAAGGTGGCTGCGAATAGAAACTAGGAGATTTTGGTGTTTTCGGGGAACTGATGTTACTGTTGATTTCTTCTTCTGGCCAAAGCTTATTGGAAAAAATGCTACAAGAATCATAAATTGATTTCACGATGCTAGAAATGCATTTCTCTTACCTCGGTCTTGAAGCCAGTCTTCTTCTAGGTAACAAAGGCTCGCAGTGCTTAATCAAATAAGTAGTGACATTGTTTTCTCTCAAATAACTGTCACGTTCTTGCCCGTTGCCTGGTTCGACATCGTATGCTCCATTAAGACAAACATATGTAGCTTCTGAGATGTGGACACGCCTTAAATAAACAATCTGAGAAATTCTAAGAAATGTCCATAAAATTCTCGTACAAAAACTGTTTCTATAAGAGCGTCACCACGTTTATGCGTTTCTACAGCAGACGAAAGCAGCAAAGTGTGTGTGGTGTTTAACTGACCATATTTAATGGATATAAAGATTGAGATAGATTACTGTTCGAGAAGGACTGAACACTGAACATGGTGATCTTGTATAATTATCCGAGATTCACTATCAAACATGTTGGACAGTAAAGACTTTAGGTGCTAATTGTGAGCTTTACCTTACCTTACCAATAACAAAGGGAAAATAATCTGGATGGAGCATCATTTAGCATTCGAGTAGCCCAGTCAAATATTTATTTAACCATAGTGTTGGCCTTCACCATCGAAAAGCATGATTCAAAGATAAACTTTAGATGTTTTCAACATTTAATTTTCAAATATGTATAGAAAACACTGGAAGAATGGAAAATAACTCGAATCAAATACTAGAATCGGACAATAAGCTCCCAACCTAAAATCAAGTCATAAGAACCACAATAAGAAGATATCAAGAAATGATGCATCCTTGGAGGCTGATCAAGCAGCACAGGAATCTGAATGGAAAGAACAGACAGTGTATGTATTGATTCTGCTTCTCAAAAAAGTGTAGTGTGCCTAAATTAATCATACAGGAAAACATCGTTTTATGAGAAGCGCATTATATTAATGCAAAGTAATGTTTTGCCACCGATGTGATGGTCATTTGACTCATTCGTCCTCAGAAACAAAGAATCCCTAAATTGTCGTTCACTAAAAGAGGGCACCATACTCGACTTAAAGCTGCGGTGATCTGGCATTCTCTAAAAGATTTTTACTGAGAGATAGTGTCCAGGTAGGCCAAAAGATCGAACTATTCACAACTAAAACCTGCGTTAATTATTCGAAAATTTATTATTGATGTGGTGATCGGGTTCTTGTTTTCGTGACTGGAGAGGTGCAAGAACACTAGAACTCCTTCCCTGATTGTATTCGCAGCGAAAACAAGATACTGGATTTTTCTCAAGTTTGGAGATATTGTAATTTTTGAATATTATGATATTATTTACCCAGGTTTTCCTCCTGACTCCATATGATTCGCCAAACTGACGTCAGAAGACCAAATGTCAAACTGCCACTTTCTTAATCCCAAAACTCCGCAAAGCACTGATCCCGAATGGATGCCGATTCTCATGTCCAAATCGTCAACCTGAAAAAATGTATAGAATTTATCTAAATTAATTAGAAAAACCTCTTTTGGAAATTTTGATATGCTGAGGAATGACATTTTTATTCTTGACTAACGAATTTGCTAGGTATGCCTTTGGTTTATCGAATTCGTTACCCGAGAACAAAAGTACTAGATAATTATTCCTTGCTAAGAGTCTCCGATAAACCTCTTCCATGAATGGTCAGATTTCGTTGTCGAGAATTCTAGTCATCCGGTATTAGACCGTCAAATAGTTACAAATGTTAAGTCCGTCGATTTTAATCTGATACTCGAAAGGAACGCCAATGGTCACCTGACATCACACCTGTTTTTGCCATATGCTTCACCCCCTCGCTCCTCATACGGAAAGTGTCAGATAAAAAACGACGGACAATAGGTGTCCCATTTTCGCATACAAACCTCTAAAAGGTTTCAAAACTTAAAACATACATCGATGTTAAATAGAATGAAGGGAAATATATGAGTGGCTCCTGGAAATGATACCCATATGGTCACATTGATTTTCCTTATATTACCCTAAAATGTACTTATTCAAGCCAACATGTTGCTCGGGCCAGTGACGTTGTAGTAATGTCTGCTGATTTTAATCTGATACTCCAAAGAAATGTGAGCTGGTGGCTCCCTACATTAAAAGGCCAATGGTTACCTGACGTCACACCTGTTTCTGTCATATGAAACACCCCCTCGCTCCTCATACGGAAAGTGTCAGATGAAAAACGACGGCCTTTACATGTTCATCCTTTCGATGAGCGTGCGTGGACCAATCGCCCAAAATCTGGATATTTCCAGGTTCAGGTTCCAATCATTAGTTCTTTAGTGTACACGGCTTGCGTGAAAATATGCACACTACTTTTGAATTCTGTTAAGGAAAATCGATTTTTTCATAATGTGTTATCCCCATGAGCCAGGCGTAATTTTCCCAATTCAACCCTCTCCGAGGCTATGCCAATCCCTATACAGGGTGGAAAATTAAAAAGGATCCACCTGGATTTTTTCGAAAATTATCAGGAAATTAAAAAAACTGCGAAACACGTCGATTTCGTTTGCAAGGGGGACACTTTTTGGCTATTTCAAAATTTTCGTAGATTGCACCCCCTTACCGGGGTGAGTAGCACCCTCAAAATTTGAATAGGGAAACTGGATCGAGTGGTACCTTGTTTGAGAGGTATTTGAGATGACTTTACAGATCTGTAATTTTTTTTCGAAATCTGACTTCTAGAGTTTCCAAGATATTCGCCTCGGAATTTGCCATGGAGCAGAAAGAGAACGTGTTTTTCGTGAAAAAATTAAAACTGGGTCATGTCTGAAAGGTTGTTCAGAAGGTTCAAACTAACAAAGAAAGAAAGGTTCAAAATAAACAAAACTAACGTGTTTCAGGAATTTCATTTTTTTCTTGTAGACATGTAGCTATTTTCCTAACGAGTGCGGGAAGAGAAATTTCCGGCACGAGGGTGCGAAGCGCCCGAGAGTTAGGAACCCAAGAGTTAGGAACTATATTTTTTCTACGAGCATACTAAAGCTGATGTTACGAAGAGTTTAATTTAAATAAAATGCGATTATGCAGAAGGTAGAATTAAAAATGTATTAAAAGGTATTTATAAAAAGGTAAAGGTACAGGTATAGGTGTATCAACAATACAAACAATTCCATGTCACAATGATTATTTCAAACTCTTCCCGCACTGAGTGCGGAAAGAAATCTCTTCCCACACCGGTGCGGGAAGAAAGTCTTCCCGCACAGCAAATCGTGCGGGAAGAGCCCTTTCCCGCACGCTCGTAGAAAAAACACGTTCTCTTTTCGCCCCATGGCAACTTCCGAGGCGAATATCTTGAAAACTAGTAGGTAGTCAGATTTCGAAATCAATGACAGATCTGTAAAGTTATCTCAAATACCTCTCAAACAAGGTACCACTCGACTCAGTTTCCCTATTCAAGTTTTGAAGGTGCAACTCACCCCGGTAAGGGGGTGCAATCTGGGAAAATTTTGAAATAGCCAAAAAGTGTCCCCCTTGCAAACAAAATCAACGTGTTTCGGCGTTTTTTTAATTTCCGGATTATTTTCGAGAAAATCCTCCTCCTTTTTAATTTTCCACCCTGTATAGATGTGTTACTATCTGACGGTCTATACATAGGGGTCGATCTAAGTAGAAGAACAAGGGGCCGAGACTCGGTATTTTGGGGTCACCGCTAGGAACCCTTAAGTGTTAGTAGAATCTATTTCAAACCATCTCGTATTTACTTGTTTGATTCTTGAATGTATTATGGAAAAATTCATTATGTTTAGAGTAGATCGTTACCGGATATCTTCGATGTTTCAATTTTTGTTGCCTGTCTCTGTATACTGTTATGATCCAAGATCATCTTCTGCCTTGAAAACATTATCATTTCGCAACATGTAAATATGAAATCATGATTATCAAATTTGTTTCTGTATGAATAGAAATGGAAAATTATTCGAAGGATTCAAACTTAAAAGCATTACTTGACAGGTATTCCTATCATAAATACGTCGAAAATATTAACATTGAGATTATGTCTGTATTATTCAATACTCCTAGTCATTTGTATTTTTGTTTACCTTTATCTTTGTTGTTTTTTTTGGGCAAAAATGGTCATTGCTCCCGATGGTGCCCTCCTAAAAAGATATCCAAGATCAAAAGTTCCAAAAAGCCTCAGAAAATTATCTTTTTTTCCTACTTAACTTTTAATGAAATAAGTTAATATACCTATAACAATCTGAGACGGGCGTTATAGGTCATAAGGCCCGCTAATAATATCCCATATCATTAAATTATTAGAAACCCATTATTAGCGGGCATTATGATCTATAATGCCCGCTTATAATGCCCTCAGGTTATTATAGATAGCTTATTTCGTTTCCTAGGTAGGAACACGTCCACGTCAAAATACAATAGGTACAATATTCTATGATACAAGTTTAGGTACCTGATTTTGTTTGATACTTAATTGTAGAAAGAACATTAATGTGGGAAATATACCGATATCTATATTCTCGAAACCGGAGAATAGCGTTCTCATGAAAACGATTGTTCTCTCTTGGTCAGTGTTATGGAAATATAAATATATGGGTGACAAAGACAGAAGACTGCTCCTCTTTCTCGGGAATAAGAACGCAGCAACCGGTGAAGTGTGCACCTTTGGAAAAGGTGTACGTGACCAGTATCATGAGTTTCACGAGAGGCAAGGTAGATTAGCAACCAGAAAACAGTTGGTTTGAGAAGTAAATAACTATATACAGTGCGTGAAGTGTTTAACGTCTTCTGAATAGTGCGTAAAGTGAGTACTTTATACACACGGTTGTAGAAAAAGATGCATCAACAAAAATAGCAAGATGGGCGTTATTTATCGAAGAATTTGATTATACGACCAAGCATCGGGAACCCGAATGCGACATGCGATCAAAAGTGCACAAGAAACAGATGAAAAACTAGAAGCCGTCAGGAAATTTTGTCTGAAAAGCCCTATAAAGATTATATTTTGAGAAACAAAATACTGTACAAATTATTGTACAGTATAAAGAATAAGGCAACGGATCTAAACATTGAAGGAATAATAGAGGAAGAAACCATGAAAATTTTTGAAGAATTCAGAGACGAATTACGGAAGACAGCAAAAGATCAAATAAAGAAGATACAGGAAGAGACAAAACTTACTATGAAAAAAAGAGGAAAGAGCCAGAAGATTATGAAGTTGGAGAGCAGCCATTAAACGAACTCAACAAGGGCCAGGACTCAAGCTGAAGATAAAGTTTCTAGGCTCCTATGAGATAATTATAGTAAAGGAAAACAACACTTCCGATGTTATGAAGATTGGTTGTCAAGGATTGACCCATGAAAACATCTACATGTTCTGATTATTTACAACCATGGATAAGCTACGATGATGATGACCATGATTCGTTGAGTGCCGAGTTGTGAGAAATATACCAGCATCCGGTGAAGTGCGCACTCTTGGAAAAGGTGTACATAACCAGTCTCATTTGTCAAATAATATAGAAATTATCAAAAGACATCTTTGCCACGGGAATTTTTAGATTATAATGCCCTTCAGGCGAATTATATCCCTCGGGCTAGTTTCGCCTTCTGAACATTATAATCTACATAGTAACATAATGCCCTTGGTACATAAACATAGCTATTTTCTCCGAATGACATTAAAAGCGGCTTTTTGATGACACTTGAGAGGCTTATTAGATATATTTTTACTGCCAAGATAAAAAAAAAAGTTTGTTGCTATGCAACGTTCCCAGGTAATACCTAATTTAAATTAAACTGGTATGTAATTAAAATTGACAATAATATTAGGTAAACAAAATGATCGCGCCAGGTATCATATGTCTGTTGATTGTAATAAAGCATCCTTATACTTGCAATTAGATCCTTGGGAAAGTTTTAAAATTGACAATGATATTGAAATGAACACAGACAATTCAACAAAAAGCCAGCTTCCTTTGTTAAAATACTTTAATTATTTGAATATGTATGAAAAAGAGGATTATGCGTGGGAAAGGAACAAATTCGGAGAAAAAAAATTATTTTAAACACGGCAGAAAATCAGATTTTTCATAAACGAGGCTAGAAAACCAGCTTTCCTGTGCTTTTCTGAACGGGCCACTTTCACGTGCCGGGAATATGGCAAATTATGATATTTTTTGACGCAGATACATCAATACAACCGAGAATGAACAATATTTTGCAAGATTTTAGTCATATTATTAAATAAATTATTAAATAAAAACTAAAAATTTAAACGGAAAATCACGTGATTGAAAACGTTCTCTGATTGGCTAAAGCCGATTTTGGCGTTTTTGTTGCCACATGTAGAAATGCGAAATTTAAATGAGTTAATAAGGATTATACCTATCCTTCATTTTTTTATAATGTAGTAAAGGACGAAAATAGTTTCTAGCTAATGAAATGTGTAATTATTTATTAATGAGAAATTTGGCATCCTCGTATTTTTGTTGATTTTCTGGTGTGTGACGTCACAAACCAAGTTCGCGTTTTCGCGCCAGCTTAAAAATTCGATTTTTTTTTCAAAAATAAGCGTTTTTTTCGGAAAAAAAGTATACAGATAGTATTAGAATGACTGAAAGAATAGTTTAAATATGTTTTTGAAAAATGTGAAAGTGGCCCATTTCTGCTTAGTAAATAGAAATAACATTTTTACATATTTAATTTGGAAGAACCAACCATTACTACTACCCTCATTCTAAGCAATGTATTATCAATTTCTGTTTTTTTTTTGTTTTTTTTTTGCTAAAAATAGCATAGACCAGACCTGTGGCTAATCCATCATAGCTCTCTACCGCACCAAATGAAGAGTGTCTCTATTTGAATGCTTCTCGGCGTTAGTTTAAGTTAGCTACTTGACAGATTTTTTTCCTTGAAATTGAAAAACCAACGTATTTTTTTATTAGGCCAGCAATAATTCGCATATGTTATCAAAATTTCTTTCGCGGAAACAGTCTACGTTGCGCAATACATAGATAACAATATTAAAGCTAAGATAAAAAGGTGGCAATAACAGGAATATTTTTTAGTAACTGAAATAATTGTACTAGGTATAACAATACAATGGTGACATATCAAAATAGTGTCGTGACCCTAGATAACCTCAAGTTGTTGATTTCGAATATAGCAGATTCTCAAGCAGATGAGATCTCCAAAAACTCAAAAAGTGAACCAAATTGTGAATTGAAACTTGATGAAGTTGCTGGAAAAATCCTATCTTTGCAGTTATTTGAAGCCTTGGATAAAGTTGCTGCAGAAAAAGAAATCAATGTTTTAAGTGAGGTCTTGAAGAAGATAACCTCAGAAGATGTTTTAGTAGAAGATCAAGCAATTAAAAAACCTGTGCCAATACCATATGAAGTTTTGAAGTTGATTTTTTTGCAAACAAGTGAAAAATTTCGACAAAATAACTTTTATGAATTAATGAATTTTTATTATGAAAAACTCACTGACGCCTTGAAAAAATTTGGTTCAAAATATTATTTGAAAAAGGCAAAGTTTGAATTTCAAGTAAAATATCTATTACCGTTGGTTAAATTTGAAACATTACTGCAAATAGTGGATACCGAACAGGATCAGCAACAGATAACTGACTTGGCCAGCAACATACGCAACTATTTTAACAACCCCCGTATGAACCAAGAAGATATTTACGTCATAGTCAAAAACAATATTGGATCTTTGCAATTTCACTTAGTTTCCTATCAATTTATTCCACTAGATCAAAGAAATGGATTCCTGGGTGACTATTTTCACCTTAAAATTGACTTTTTCCATGAAAATGTACAAAAAAAACTGAATTTATTTGCCAAATTTTTGACACCTAAGCAAGAAGCTTTCAAAGAAGTTCTTAAATTAGGTCCATCAAAAAAAGAAGAATTCTTCTACATGATTTATTTTCCAAAATTGGAAGAACTGGGCTACGGAGAACTGACAAGCTTTGCTCCAAATTGCTACTTTTCCAGAGTTGATGATGTGCTAATATTGGATGACATGACTCAAAAAGGATTTATTAGCTTAACGCCAAACATGAAGCTTGAGTATGAGACTCTGAAACTAGCCATAGGCAAAATTGCCAAATTACATTGTTGCAGCTTAATTCTTGAACAAAAAGTACCATCGTTATGCGACACTTATGACGAATTTCTACAAGAAGTCTTATTCAGGCCTGACGATAATAAATTTATTCCTCTTACAACGGACAGGATTTTATATTTGGCTACAAGATTTCCTGAAATAACCAAAAATTATACCAGGGAACAATTGAAAGAAAAATTGGAAAAGGGTTTTAAGATGTTTACGGAAAAAATTCAAAAATCAAGTAAAATTAAAAATGTAGTTTGTCATGGAGATTTGTATGTGGCCAACATGTTGTTCAAATTTGATCAAGATCAAACCTGTGAAGATGTAGCTCTAATAGATTTCCAAATCCTAAGATATTGTCCTCCAACTGTAGACTTAATGTTCTTTTTATATCAAACCACATTTAAAGAAACCCTTGAAGTCCATAAGGAATCTTTATTAGAAGAATATTATGCTACATTAACCGAGACTTTAACCAAACACGGTTTTAATCCAGAAGAAATCTATTCCAAAGAAGAATTTTGTGAAGCCGTCAAATATGCCAAAAACCTAGGTATTATCCAGGCGCTCTTTTATTCGCCAGGCCACATGGTTGATCCGAAAGTTAGAGAATCAATGCTCCAGGACAGCGATGCTTATGCAACAATTAGGGCCGAAGAACACGGTTTGCTCAAACTGGGAATGCAAAGCGAAGATTATCGGAGAGCTTTGGGTGGGCTTTTGGAAAAATTTATTGAAATCTGTGATAATGGAGAAATTTAATTTTATATTTGATAAATAAAATAGTTATTTATGTAACAAGGGCGCAATTAGAGTATTTACGGCCTGCCGCGTTAAAATTAAACCACGAGAAGGGTTTCAAACACTATTTGCGCCTCTGGTACAACTGCGAGTAATTATGTAATTCAAATAAAATATTGAAAATATTATAAATAAATAATCAAAGTGAAATAATAAACAAAAATTTGATTTATTAGGACATTTACCAGTTAGGTTAGGTTGGGTTGAAAATGAATGGGCCTATTACGGCCCTCCACTGCGACTCATTAGTCTCTTGTGACTCATGCCAACTTAGATATATATCTACAATCATGTCTATTTTTCCAAGATAGTATAGTTGGAGAAATTTTGACCAGGTCTCCCAGTGGGACCGCTGTCTTTCCTAAGATACGATGCCTCAGTCTGCCACCTACCGGACACTCGCAAAGAATGTATGCAGCTGTTTCTTCATGTTCCATGCATAGCTTGCACTCAGCATCATCTGCCAGTCCAACCCTTTGCATGTGCTCTTTTAGCCTACATTATCCAGTATAAGCCGATTAGGGTTTTCAGCTTAGTTGTACCGAGCTCCGACCGAGCGTTCTTCTATCGGTTGTCTTATGATTGTCTTTGCTTGTGTCATACCTGGCAGGTTTAACCAATCTTCGTAGGCTTTGTTGTCCGTCCAGGTTTGAAGACTACACCAGGCACAGCAGACAAGAGCAGAAGGTGCCATAAGTTTACGTGAAACTAATCAATAAGTAGATATTTATTATCGGATTGCTTTTTCAGACATAGAAACTTCAGAAAACAAATAAAATAATTGTAAAGTAATTGAAATCATATAACAATTTGAAGGTGTCCATACTAACAAGTAACAATGGAATCCCCTCTCAGTGGCGTAGCCAGGATTTTGTCTTGGGGGGGGCAAATTTGCAGAAAGTGTTTCTTGTCGGAGGCAAAGCGCCGCAGGCGCGAAATTTTTAGGTGCCACGTCCCATTTTCAGGTTTCTTTACGCTATTTTGGGACTGTTTATTTTAATTTTGAAGAATTATTCATGTAAGGTATTTTTGTATCTATTTTTACTATTCCGCACCAGTTTATAAATTCATTGGTAACAAATTTATAAAATGGCCACCTGCTACTCGCACTCGTATTCCTCACTGCAGGAATCTGTACGGGCTCTGTTTGAAGGATGATATTGATCAGCAGGCGTATACCACCAATCATCTTGTTCCCCAATTCATTTTCATCACTTGACGGATATTTCTTTTCTTCACTTTGTTAGCGATCTTTTGTCGGTTTTTCTAGGTTCAAGAATTGTTTGATGGCACTAGCTTCTACTTCATCACTGTTAAAACTCCGTTTTTGATTCGTTTCAAATCGAAAACTTCTAACTGATCAATTCTGTTGTCCTACTTCTAGGTGTAGGTACCTACTTGGTAAAGATACCGTCGGGATTGATTGATTGTAAATTAAAAACCTATCCAATGCACAGCTAAAATCGACTCGTCGAGACAAAATTAGACAAGGAAATCTGGCGATAATGCCAACAGCCAAGTCTAAAGCAGGAGACTGGCAATCCTGACAACGGTCTAAAATTCTATCATCATTTCTTCGGAAAATTCCAACTAGCCAGAGATTTAGTGTGTATTTCAACTCCTCTCTATCGCTGGCTATGAGGAAACCAACTTGTCTAATTAACCATCAAACACCCCCATTTCGACCAACAAATCTAGGCACAAATAGCCCAATTTAGCTGCAAACATGCATATCCCAATCCCGGTAAATTCTTGCACCCAACCCTCATTCTCTGACATCCCAAAAATTCCACATCACTTGCACCAAAACCATTACCTAGAGACTCATCAGGCCTCAGGATTGGTCAGGGTGCAGGGTTGTAGAACCCCTTTTATTCTTACCGGCGCTCAAGCGCACCCATCCTCAAAGCTCACTTATTGTTAGTGACACTGGGTCCAGTGGACCCGAACGCCCAAAGGGCACAACTTTTTTGCTTTTACACATAAAATTAATGATAAACGGGGTTTTTCGATGCTTTTCCCCGCAGAAGGGCGCTGGCGCTCTGCAACCCAAATCTGAGCAAACCACCGATACCCCCAGACAGGCCACTGTAGTGACCTAGTGCGCGCCATTCGTGGTATTCACCAACGACTCTAGGGTCACAAAAGCGACGTTTAAGGGAGACCAGGGCTGCGTTCAAAAACGGCTAAAGCCAAGCCAAAATTGGCATATTGCGTTCAAGTTCGGCTCCAGCATGCCAAAAACGGTTGGCTTTACACGTTCAGAATCGGCCGCGGTAAAGTAACTTTTGGAGTTGCTTTTAACTGAGTCTAGAAATGGTTAGACGAATTTTGATTGGATGAGACCAAATTCAATATGGCGTGGCGGCCAGCAAGTTAGTTTTGAATATGTGTTTTCATGCATATTTCAATTATTTTGCTTCGAGTTTTGCTTGCAGCTTTGATTTTGATTATTCAATAAAATATTTGTAGGTACGTAAACTATTGAGTTGGGCAGAAACTAGATATTTTTTGTGTTTTTTCGTCCATGTGTGGACGCCACGCTATCTTGAATGTCACGTGGTTTGGATTGCCTAATTGAGAAACGGTATTTGGCGTTCCAGCAAATTCACACCAGATTTGGCATTGCCGGTAGAAGGGGAAAAGTAGGTTTTGGCATTAGCATTGCCGTCTTTGAACGCACTCCAGGAAACGCCGAAGAGAGATACCAAACAAAAATAGGATCAGGGGCTCGATAGGTCAACAACATCGACCGGGGCTAGAGATCGCGCACTGTACGCTAGTCGTGCAAGTGTACAGTGCGCGGCGGCGTGCTGCGTCACGCTGGAGTTTTAGCCTTAAGTAGTCTTTGTCCTAGGATTAGTAATTGTTTGTAAATATTCAAGTTAAGGGGCCCCAGCCCGGTTAGCTCTAAGTATTTATTGTACATATTTAATTAATTGAAATAAAGAGATTTTGAGTTTGAGTTTTGAGTAGTTTAATCGTATATACTACAGTTTAAGTGAAGTTGGTGTTTGAGCTACATCTACCACCAGATATTTTTTTTGTTGAAAATTGGCAGCTTTTATGAAATGTGCGTCGTAGAAAAGTATATAAACAAAGGAGGAGGTGCAATGATATATAATATCGTGAATTATTCTCCTTAATCTCCTACTTTCCATAATCCACATTCATTCACTATAATTTTTTTGTTTCCAGTTGAGATTCTGCAGGTTATAAATAGGTCGCACTACGGATACTCGTAAGTTTCTGCTTCTGAGTAAGTGACTACAATGTTTCTCCACTGGTAACCATACCGTGGCAGATCTTCCTATTGATTTTGAATCATCTGACCTCCCTGCTTTCGACGGCTTTTTGCTAGCTCTGAGTAGAATACGCATTTTGGAACTTGGTTTTCCGAAATGCGCACGACGTGTCCTGCCCATCTTAAGACAAGCCTGGACAACAATGTCATAAATACTTATACAACCTGCTCTGTACACCACATTAGATAGTCTATGGTACCAATTTATTGGAATTATCTGTTGCAGATATCTTTGTTGGGTTCCAGAGCTTTGATGTGTCTCCTGTAAGTCACCCATCACCCAAGTTTCGAAACTATACGTTAGTGCTCTGACTACTACCGATTCCTTGACAGATTGAGATCATGGTTGTTAAAAACTGGCTCTTAGTTTTCAGAAGGACCCAGCAGCATTTCTATTGCGGTGTTCGATTTCTTCGTCAATTTTTCCTCTGGTATCGACGATGCGTCCAAAATAGTTGAAGTGCTCAACATATTCAAGACACGAATCTCAGTCTGGTCTAAGACTGCTGGAGTTGTCATAATCTAGGTTTTGTTTATATTTATTTCAAGTTCCAGAGCCTCATAATCCCAGGCGTAGGTTTCCAGGATAGCCTGGGTATTTCGACTGAGAGAGCTATAGCCCGCAATCATCAGCATATTGCAGGTAGGTCATATATTTTATTCTAGTTTTCGCAATTGGAGGGGCACGCAACTTTGCCTCACTTATGAATGGTTCAGAAGGCTCTTTATCTACTAGAACTCTTGCGCAATTGAATATGCAACAAGTAGCAACCAAATTTTATTTGGAAGCTGATTGGAGAACTTTTTTTAATTTGCATTGTTCAACCTACTGAAGTCAATTTGAAGTCATTGTGCATCAACCACACTGTAAAGTAAATGCAATTGAATCGGGACCTTGATTCACTAATAAAAGTTTGTAAATATTATCATTAGGCAAACTCAAAAGAACATTTTTGTACTGATCGCTGATGATAAAGAACTATTGTTTTCACTTGCACTACACAAACATAGAACCAATATATATATGGCATTAGGATTGAGTGATAAAATGTTAACTATTTCACCTGCAGTTGAAATAAGCCTACGGAAATAATCAGTTAATCGCGATGTTTGAGGGTTTGAAAATACTTATATCGGCTGAAATATCAGCAGCGATGAAAAATAGTGATGTTAAAATTAGTAGTGATGTTGAAGTAATTGCTAATAAACTATTATCTTTGAACTTATTTGAAGTAGATAGGAGTGCAGCTCTGAAAGAAGTGAAATTACTTAAACAATCTATATGTACCATTAATGGAAAATTCGCCGCAATAATCTACAACGTATTGAGAGAAATTTTTGCAAAAACCAATGAAAAATCACGTCAAGAGAAGTTTGACCATTTGATGGATGCTTGCTATGAGGAAATATTGTATAATTTCGAACTTCAAAATGGAGGTGAATTTATAAAAAAGCCCAATTTTAATATTCAGGTCAAACTGCTATTACCTTTGGTAAAATTTGAGCTACTATTGAAATATGTAGATAATAATAATAATAATTCAACTGAAGTCAAGGAACTAATAAATAATATTCAACATTATTTTAATTATCCGAGATTAAACCAGGAAGATATTTATGTCATAATTGAAAATAAAATTGGCATTAATAAAGAGTTTAATCTGATTTCGTATGAAATTGTACCTCTAGATACCAAAAGTGGCCTCATGGGTGAATATTTCCAATTATTCATCAACCTGGAAAACGAAAAACTTATTTTTTTTGCCAAATTTTTAAATTTCAATACCGAAATGACAGAATCATTATTGAAAATGGGCCCATCCAAAAAAGAAGAATTTTTCTATACGGTTTTTTTGCCTAAACTGAAAGAGTTAGGCTATGGGGAATTATTGGATTTTGCTCCAAATTGTTACTTTTCCAGAGTGGATGATGTTATTGTTCTAGACGATATGACTCAAGAAGGATTTATTGGTTTAACCCCAAACAGTAAGCTTGATTATGAGACTCTGAAAGTCTCTGTTGAAAAAATTGCCAAATTTCATGCTTGTGGGTTTATCCTTGAAGAACATTTGAAACAATCCGGACAATCGCTCTACGAGTATTACAAAGAATATTTACAAGAAGTTGTTTTTGAACCAGAATCGGTTTTCTATAAAACTTCTGTACCTCACAATGAAAAAGTATTTATGTATTTAGCAACAACAAAATTTCCAGATGTCTGCGCTAAATATTCGGGAGACATTCTGAAGGAAAAATATGCAAATGGGTGGAGACTTTTCACTGAAAAAATTCGCAAATCTGAAACATTTAAAAACGGTATTTGCCATGGAGATTTACATATAGGAAATTTGTTATTTCACTCCAAATCTGAGAATACAGCTTTAATAGACTTTCAGAATTTAAGATACTGCCCGCCTGCACATGATTTATTATTATTTTTGTATTGTACGACATTGAAAGAGACTCTTGATACATACCAAAACGAACTGATCGCGTATTATCATTCAGAATTAACGAAACATTTACGAAAATTCAATTTGGAAATTGAAAACATCTTTCCAAAAGAAGAATTTCACCAAAGCATTCATTATATGAAAAGTCAATGCATTTTTCATGCCTTTTTTTATAATTTAGTTCAAATGATCGAGCCGACGAAAAGGAAAGAACTTTTGAAGAACAAAGAAAACTTCTCCAAATACACAGCTGATGAATCTAGTGGAGCCGAATTGGGATGGGAAGACGAAGCTTATAGGAGAGTCATTAAAGGATTTATGGAGTTGATTATAGAGTTGTGTGATGATGGACATATTTAGTTGTAATTTCAAATTTGTTGTTTTTGTATCAATTATAAGCACCTAGAAACTAGTTTCAAATATGTGATTGTTAGGTTTTAGCATCAGGATGGTAATTGGAGTGTATACATTTTTCGAATAAAATTATCTGTTGTATAGTTGTAGGATTTATTAGGCATATCTCAGTTGAAACTGTAATAAATGACTGAAAATCAAAAAAAAAAAAAAAATCCTGTGCAGTTCACACCCGGTAGAAGTGAAACCTTCATCGAACTGCATGCATTACACACATACTAATATACACAGTGGAGTGTCCCCCTCCAAAAGACTTGAGAAAGAACGCAAATAAATATAGTTTTAAAAAACTAAAATACACGCTGTGGTGCTTTGTTCCACATTTCTCATACATTGAGCACCCCACGATTTTTTGACAATAATTCTAATATTTTTTGTTCAATAATATTTTCTGTTTATATTGAAAATTATGTTTCACTTTTTAGTTCAATTTACTATAAAAGCGTGTTTTTTAGTTTTTTTCAAAATATATTTATTTTTCAATTTTTAGTTCGATGTATTATAAAAACGTGTCAGCCCCAGCAGGGCCGGTCCAATAGGTATTTTATGCCGAGGCAAAGTTCAATTCTGGCGCCCCCCTTCTCAAATTGATTTGTCAAAATGGTTAAAGATCAATATGATATACAATGAATTTTAGGCTATCGCTTAAGAGAGTAAGACAAAAAAAAGTAACTTCATTTTTTTAGAAGCGTATATTTTACGTTTACTTATTACATGAGGTCTGTTCTCACAGAAATCACAAACCATTCGGAGTGTTTTTGACTGGTGCAAATCGCCAGAAACTAGATTTCTGATAGTTTATAACCAATGAAATTCGCTCTGATAGGTATTGTTCGTCGATTTTTAACTGATACTTGCGGTATGAGGTGCAAGGGGGTGTTTCATATGGCAAAAACAGGTGGGATGTCAGGTAACCATTGGTGTTCTAATGTAGGGAGCCACCAACTCACATTCCGTCCGAGTATCAGATTAAAATCGACGAACAATATGTGATGTCTGTGAGAACAGATCTATATTGTAGATATAAAAAAATAGACATACAAAATACCGTAAAAGCTCTCCACTACGTAGTAGGGGACCCTTCAAGGAACTCCAGAAAAATAATTGAAAAAATGGTGGCATTCTTAAGAAAGTTATTATCATTTTAATGTTAATTAAAATCGGCAACACTGAAAATATCCCGTTGACAATTTGTCACAGAATTAATTAAATATACCTATGTAATTACCTGGAAAATTCGAAGGTGACTGAAAAATGTTGTCAGATCAATTTTTCCTGTTGTAATTTAGAGATTTTGCAATTTTCATAATGCGTTTTAAAGGTTAACAACAATATTTTTTAAACTAATATGTAATGAATCAACAAAAGATACCTACAAAATATTACAATTTGAAAGAGAAATCAAAAATAAGGAAGTTGAATTTCCACATTTACCTTTTCATATTTCCAAGAATGGTCGAGAATTTTTTTTCAAATTATTTTTCCAGTGTTACTCAACAACTACGTAGTGGAGAGCTTTTACGCTATTTGCCGGACACCCTGTACAATATGTATTTTTCAAATTAACTTAACACAAAAATAGTTTGCCAAAACTAATTAACTTATCAATACTAAAAATGAACCAGTCTGGCTTTACTGGCTTGCAAAGTCAGAGATGAGTTCGTTGATAAGTTTATTCTCACAGAAATCACAAACCAGTCAGAGGGAATTTCATTGGTTCAAAATAGTCATAAAACTGGTTGTTGGAGATTTTCGCCAAGCAAAAACGCTCTGGCTGGTTTGTGATTCCTGTGAGAACAGACCTTCTATAATCTACACCATCTAATATGTTATAACCATCGGGATCGAGTGTGTTTAATGGTCGAAGGTTATAACATTTTCAATTCTGAGAGCGAAAGTCCATTCAATCTGTTAGAAGACAAAGAGGATCGAAAGTGCCTTGATGAGCGGTGACAGGTGACAGTGGTGGTTCGTAAATTAACTATTACCGGACAATGTTGTTGGATATTTTATTATCTCCCTATCATCCTTGTGATATAGAACTTTTTTTTTTATTTAACTTGTTCATTCGAAATAAATTTTTTGTCAATTTGGCGCCCCTAATTATGGCGCCCTAGGCGGTTGCCTTGGTTGCCTGTGCCTAAATCCGTCCCTGAGCCCCAGAGATTTCCAGACTTTCCCAGACATTATCCATACTCATTCAGAGCTTTCCAGAGTTTTCCAGATTTATCCAAACTTGTACAGGCTGATCTGGATTCTGGAAAATGATCCCCAGGTCTTTTGGGACCTTTTCCAGAATTTTTCCGACCCTTTCAAGAAATTTCCAGGCCTTTGCCAGATGTTTCCAGAGATTTCCAGACATTATCCAGACCTATCCAGAGCTTTGCAGAATTTTCCAGACTTTATCCAGATTATTCCAGACTTTACTCAGACTTGTTCAGACTGATCCGGATTCTGGAAAATGATCCCCAGGTCTTTTGGGATCTTTTTCAGCATTTTTCCAACCCTTTCCAGAAATTTCCAAGTCTTTTCCAGACGTTTCCAGACTTTTCCAGACAATATCCAGAGTTTTACAGACTTTATCCAGATTTATCCAGACCTGATCCAGACTTGTACAGACTAATCCGGATTCTGGAGAATGATCCCCAGGTCTTTTGGGACCTTTGGCAGAATTTTTCCGACCCTTTCCAGAAATTTCCAGGCTCTTTCCAGATGTTTCCAGACTTTTTTAGACTTCATCCAGATTTATTCAGACATTTTCCAGACTTGTTCCAGCTCACTTGGCTTGTTCCAGGTTCTTGTTTTGTGTTAATATAAGCGTGTTAAAAAAGTGTTGCTTTCTCGTTTCATGTCGCTTTTTCGTTTCAGGTCGCTTTTTTGTTTCATCGAGTCTCAAATCACTCCCAACGATTCTAAAGAAGTTTTCACTTCAAAAATATAGAAGAATTTTTTTTTACTACTAACCTGAGAAATAGACATTATTCATTTTATTTTTATAATGCCCGTATTACATCTATGTATTTTTCCGTGTATTTATTCGTGTAGTTCAGAATGACAACCGAAAAACTTCAAATGCAACATAAATCAGCATTATGAAAAACAAAATAATGTTGGCACCCTGAACTACATCAATAAATACACAGAAAAATACACAGATGTAATACGGGCATAAGAAAAAATTGAATTTCTCTCCCTAGGTTAATAATGAAAATAATGAAAAAATACCTAGGTCAATAATGAAAATGACGTCATGACGCAAGGATATTGTCATGTTTCTATTATTGGTTCAATTCAATTTCATACGTCAATTCGAAAAAAAATACAGGTTTCTGTAGGTACATAGGAAGTTATATAAGCTGTTGATAGAGGGCAGCACTTTCAAGAGGGCGTTCACAAAAAATAATTAGAACACAGATTTTAAACAATTTTTTTATTTTCTACTAGCAGTAGTAAAAAAAATTCCATATATTCTTCGGTAGAGGAGGTTTATAATGCTTGAGGTATGCATTATAAACCTCGGCGCTGCGCGCCTCAGTTTATAAAAGCTTTCGGTATATTATAATGACCAACTTCTCTACCCAGGTATATAATATACTATTTTGTCACTACAGACAGGTACAGTTGCGATCAAAAAAAAGTAGTACAAAAATTATTAACCCCAATTTGAGCTCCCGGTGTATCATACAAAATTTTGACAGGCAATGACATATTCTATGTTGTGCAATTGGAAATTAAAGAACTACCAAATAATAGATTTAAGGAGAGAGTGGAACAAATTTTACTTTCAAATGGGTTTTTTTACTACTACTGAGAAGTAGTCAGTATTCCATCATTTTTCTGGGAAAAAATTGAATTTCTCTCCCTAGGTTAATAATGAAAATAATGAAAGAGGATATCTATTGTCATAACGTAACAGGTTTCTATTGGTTCAATTTTAATTTCGGACTGTCAATTTTAAAAAAAGCAGGTTACTGTATATACATTATAGGAAATTACCTGTTGATAGAGGAAAGAGAGAGAAAATAACTTGAACACAGGTTTCAAACCCATTTTTTATTTTACACTAGCAGTAGTAAAAAAAATTCTATACATCCCTCGGCAGAGAAAGTCATTATATACCTTACGCATTATATATTGTCAACCCTACATGGGACCACGGGCTATAACCAAATTCAAAACACTAAACCACGGGTTATAACAAATAACTGCAACTAAGCAAGAAAAAACAAATTATCCTAATCATAGTCAGCAAATATTGGATACAAAAGCCCGGGCCAAACTATGGCAAATTAGTCGTGTCTCAGCGCTTCGCTGCAATCAGTAGGTGTTAAGAGACGACTCAAAGTTGGGGAACTATCTGAACTGATAAAGTTAATACGCTATCGTATCTCTATCAGGGCAGGTACTCCCTGACGCCCCAGGCTTTGACCTACAGTGAAAAGGCTTTCTAGATTTTCCTGTAGGGCTGGTTTGGTTATTTAGCTTTGTAGGGCTGGTTTGGTTATTTAGCTTTGCAAGGGTATACCCGACGTTTGACTGTCCGCCCTTTGTTTAGCCTCACCACCCAAAGGGACGCTATCTGGTCCCAGATGACGATGATGTGGTAATAACTAAAATATTCAAGTTTCCGTAATCTCCGTCCTGTAACAATATATATTAGCTATTTAAAACTGTTTAAAACTGTTCTGGTGTTTCCCTGATTTCTCCTCCCTTCCCGTTCTGCTTTTCAGGGTGAATAGTCGAGCTACACAGCGAAGCTGAGACGTTTCGCGACAATATAAAAGCGCTCGGTATATAATGACCAACTTCTCTACCTAGGTAAATAATGTACTATTTATTCAAATGAAGAATATTTTAAGTATTTTTGTCATAATCAATAGTATTAATAATTGTATTTTTTACATTTTATTTTATAACTTGATTGTATGCATAAACCCAGTGCCTAA